TGTGGTGGTTAAGGCACTGGACTGGGATTTGGGAGACATGGGTTCTGTTCCCAACTCTACCACAGTCGAGATGTGATGAGTGGAAGGGCAAGCAAACAAAGAGGAGGAGCTGTTTAGCTACGGCAAAAACATACTTTCACGTGGACTGTTTGTCCAGTTTGGAAGTTAGATAGGTCTGGTTTTTGTTTGGTTAATCAAGTAAACAGTATTAGACTCCTGTTTGTGCAACTGAAATCTGAAAGCTAATCTTGACCTATTCCATTAATCTAGATGTTGTTTTAACTACATGTTGTTTTAACTTGCATGAAATTTCAGATGCCACTTTTCTGTGTTTCTTGGTTGACTTAATTCACCGATTCACCATTTAGTTCTCTGATCTTCAGGCAATGTACTGTGACTTCTACGCTAAGTTGTATATGCACACAGTTTCTCCACTGTCTTGCTTAGATACAAAGGCAACAGACCACACACAAGATATTTCTTTTGTCACACAGGGTGAAGTTCCTACAGTTTGATAGTAACACTACCTTTTTTCTTTTCAGAAGCAAGAGCTTGGCCTACCAACTCTGACCTGTAGACCACTAAGCTCAGCATCCTGATTTGGTGCCGCCTTTGGGAGGATGAATCAGGACAGTGACTCAAGTGATCAGCCCACTGGTGAGTTTTCTGCTTGTCCAAGCGTTTGCCTGTCTTCTCCTGTTTGTCCAGCATGATTTGCTTTCCATTCTTTTTCCTTAGTGCTATTGGAGGAGAATGCTTCATCACAAATAGAGCAAAACCTGTGAATTCAACGCTAAATTGTGTGCCATGAAGGTTACTGGATCTTTGAGGTTTCCTGGTCCACATCTAGATATCAGCGTCCTTAAAATTGTATTCCAGGTTGAAACTTCTTATAACAACTGTTTTTATAACTTCTTGCACACACATACCATTTTCATGTGTGTCCCACAAAGTTTCAGTGTTAGGATCCTTGCCGGAGAGATTGAATGGACAGGAATTTATTACTTAGTCTGGCTCAGTCCTGCCATAACTTTCCTCTGCTCTTCCATCCCCATCTTTGGTTATTGGAATTCAGTATCATCTAGTGCTTCTGGCAGTTTCTGCAAAGAAGAAGGGCCTGGGAGGCGCGTAAGCCAGAAGCAGTGCCTGACAGCCTCCCAGGCTCTTGCTCAGCTGTGTGCTTTTTTGGATGTGTAAAGGGGCATTCTTAGTTCTGACGTGAGGGCTATTTTTTGACAGTTTCCATTGTTCCCTACCCTTTGTTAATGGGTGAGGTCTTTTTGTCCGATTCCTTTTTCAGAAATCGAGGCTGTTATGAGAGCTGTCTGCTCACAGGTTTGGGGACTTGTCTTTTGTTGTCAAGAGTCCTGAGAGTTTCTTCCTCCCTTTTTCAGACTCACTCACGCAAACTCGTCCAGACAATATCTGTCTGAGGGGACTGCTAGGATATCCCCTTGCTGGGATAGCAGGGAAAGTGGTCCTCATAGCCACCACCCTTGTGCCATGCTCTTGCTGTCACAGTCCACTTGGCTGTAGGCAGAGCAGATTGATGAGTTTGGGGTTCTGAACACCTGCCTACACTAAAGATCTTGCTGTTGTCTATGGGTTTGAATCTGGGAGTTCAAGAATGGAAAATTTTCGGAAAATTCCTGTGGTAACATGGAATATCTATTCTTTAATACTCTGCATGTGTTTTTATTACTGTGAACAGATGATGATTACACGTCAGGATGTCATGCAGATTCATGAATCATCCACAAAAGGACCTAGAGGCTGGGTCTTTGGAAAAAGACGTTCAAGGAAAGTCTCCATAACACAAACCATCCTGGGTGCTCGTGAGAAATACGTGGATTGCATGGTCAGAATATTCATAGATTGCTCATTGCAGCGTTGTTTTTTGTAGGGTTAATAAATGTTATGCTTAGATCCACTCTAAGGCACAGGAATGAAGCTGTCAAGAGGGACATATTTCCGATGTACTACTTGTATGGGTTTTACACCTTCTGTTGAAGCTTAGTACTGGTTACTCTTGGAGTCAAGATACTGGGTTAAACAGGTCTGATCCACTGATGATTTATATCTTGACTGAAGATAGAGATCTTCAAATTTGGATCTCCGTTTGTTCAGTGTCCAGCACCAGCCCTCTGTAGCCACCTAGTAGGTTTTACATTGTCAGTTCTTTTCATTATCTAAGCCTTGCTACCACTGTAGCTATACTTAGAGAGGAAGGATATTATAATCTTGTGAAAGATTAAAATATTTTTACTGTAATCCAGCTGGAAGGTAGCACTTTTCTCAGGGTAAGAGACAGCCAAGGTTTTTCCCATTCTGTCCTCCCCTTGTATGCAGGAAGGAAGTGCTGGCAAAGGCCCCTCAGCTTCCTGTCGACTTCGGAGCGCGTTTCCAGACACAACCTTCTCCACTATCCATCACCCAGCCCAGCCAAACAATCACAGCAGCGCAACGGGAAAAACACACGTCTCGCATAAATACTTTGGAGGCAGCGCGAGCGCAAACCGCTGGGGTTCGTGCACAAGCCAGTTTGGTCTGTAGGCTGTGTCTGATAGCAGTTTACTGAGTATTTTCTTGCCTTCCCTTTATAATCAAGTACTTCAATAATCAAAATTCCCCTTCAGAAGAAGCAGCTTAACTAAGAAAAAAAGGGGAAAAAGAAGGAAAAGGGGTGATGTTTAGTAAAGAAGCTACTGCACTGGCAGGTTGTGGAGCCTTAAGCCAAGGAAATGACGGGATGCTCTCTGGTCCAGAGCACCCCAGGGTGATGTGTCTGGCCACAGGGGAAGGAAGTGACTGTTGTCTGGCATGATGGAGGCAGAGGTTTCTGTCAGATCTTCAGGGTAGGGCAGTGATGAGGCAAACGCTATCTGTGATGCCTTAAAGAAGGAGGAAATAAATAAGGTGGAGGCCTCACCTTTAAATGAATCACCTTTGCTGAATGTGATTCTGTGCCTCTCTCCAAGAAAAGGCTCAGAACTGAACTGTAATCTTTTTCTTGTATTACTGGTTTTGTTTAAAAGCTGGATTGCAATATTTAGATAATATTTTCAGACCTGTCTGCTCTGTAACCTTTTTTTAACGATTCCTTAAAACAGCTATTTGGTTTTATTTTTTTCAGTATGGCTTTAGTATTCTCGCCAACTTTGAGCTGGGGATTCCATTTTGGTTCTGATAGCAAAAGCCTGCAAAGATCAGTTGTTAAGAGATGATGAGCAATCGCTGAAACACCTCTCAAGATCACTGTATAATCCTGTTGTACTACTGGTTATGACAGAATATCAAGAGTCTAACTTGACAGAGAAACAAGTTTTCAATATTTGAGGCTTAATTTTCCTTGTACATCTAGCCTGAATGCTTTATGTGTAAGGCTGAGCACCTAGGTTAGTCTTTCTGGGTGTGAGCATCCACACAAATAGGGCCCTGTCTGCATTACCATGTTCTCACTCTGCATTTTCCGGTAGGTATTTTGGAAGCCATCCTATTGTTCTTTGGCCTGAGACACTCCAAAGGTACCTCCTAGTAGGTTGTGTCCAACAGCAAGAGGACTGGTTTGTATTTGGGAATGGAAGGAGGGGGATGGCAAGACTACCAACCACCACAGCAATTACACCTGCCCTCCTTGTTTCACATTGATGCTGCCCATGTTGAATTGTACTCTGTGTTTGAGCCCACACCTCTGAGTCAGCTAAGCACATCAGCTTGTAAATTAGTGTGGAATTAAAACACATCGAAGACCTCTCTGTTTGGTCATTGGAGGGTTTGGGGTAAAATTCAAGTCAGGGTCCAGCTTAATGATAAATTTAAAACCCTGAAATTTCAGCAGTTGCTCATAGTGTAAGAAAATAATATTTTGCGGGGTTGCATTTTTCCCGAATTAACTGACACTGCAGGATTCCTTCAACCTTTCCTCTGACTTCTCTCTGAAAAAGGCCACTGTCGGTAATTTCTGCAGCGTGACTTATTTTTGCAGCATGCCTGGTGTACTCAGAGTCAAAATAGTATTTACTTAAGGCTACGTTTTGGTGACGTTGGGATGAAACTTGAATATGAGTGTAAGCTCTAGAATTAAAGAAAGAGTATGTTGTTTTAATGACAAGGTTTTTAGGCTAGAGTTGTGGAAGTAATTGGTGAAGACTTTCCAGAAACAAATTGCATACTACTGAAATCTGGCCACTCTGACCCCCTACGCATACTGGCCGATGTGGTGGTTTTATTTGTAACACATCTTTCAGTGCAGTTTATGCTTTTTATACTTTCTTACCATGTAAAAACCAGTGTGTAACTCTTAACTGTCTTGACAAGCAAAAAATCCCCAGCTCCATGCTGGCTACCTGCACAAGCACCTCGTCTGCCCAGCCAGATGTGCCTTTCTGTGGTTATTTAATTCCTTCTCTGTTTCACATTTTTATTGTCCTTTGTCTGGGCTTGCAACAGGCATGGGGTGGGGAATAAGCTCCTTAAATGCCTTTACCATACTCTGTGGGACAGAAATTATTTCTTATTTAAGGTCTGTACAGAATGCAGTATTACGGAGTCCTCATTTAAAATCTGAAGGCATTTCTGAAATGCTAACAATTATTTTTAAATCTACCAGAAATGCACATGAATAACACCAACTGAAAAAAAAAAAGAAGGTAAAAGTTACAGGGGGTGGGAAGGATAATAAACAGCAGTAATAGCTGTATGTTTATGAAAACAATAACAAAACCAAAAAACTTACCCATCAGGGCAATGGCCTGGAACTAAGAAAAGTCAGGTTTCCCCACTGGTCAGGGCTGAAAGTAGATGCTGTCAATTGAAGTTGTCAACTTCAAAAGAAAAAAAGCAAAACTCAGCAACCTAGTTTCAGGTCCTGCCGTAGACCCAAAGTCCCCAGACAGTTTGTGGCATTTGGCAGTCTCATTTCCCTGTTTTGTGAAAGTATTAATCTTCCCCTTTGTGAAGCTGCTTGACCGTACATGGGAAAGTGCTCACATTAACAGCATGCAAAACTTCTTAATTTCCTTCTAGAAAATAATTTATTGTGTCCTTGCTTGTCCTGGCCATCCTGTTTGGAGGAAGGAGACATCACTCTAACGGGCAGTGGATGCAATTCTGCTCAGTTCCCACATGCACTGATCTCGTATTTATTTTATTAATCTAATTATGCACTGTGACAGCAATGGGTTAAAAAAAAGAGACAAGACTGTGATTTGTTGTCAGTGTCCCTTTTAAGTACAAGAGTGCCAACTTGAAATCAATCCACCGCATGCTAGCCGAGCAATGTAAGGAACGCGGGATGGCAGTAACATGATCAGATCTGCTGAAACCACCGAGCAAAAGTGCTGCTGCGCTGGGAGAAGCTGCGAGCAGCCGAGGTGTTTATTTCAAGAGACTGTGGCTAGGAGGACTGGTAATTCTCAAAGAAGTGAAAGCAGGCAGGGACTTGCAAGCCCCTTCTGACATGTGCTAGTGGCTGTCATGGTTCATGGCTCAAGGGAAGACAAGTCCTCGGGACTGCCAAAGTCTCTGAAAAGTCAAAGAAATAGGCTTGTGATAGTAAATGCTGTTTGCCCAGGGATACGAAAACACTGTGTGACTGAGAAGAATTATGTTTAGATTGGACATGTGATCATACGACACAAACTGATAGATAACGAAGA